AGCATCCGAAGATGGACGATGGGAATGAAAGGAGAATATAAGGAGACTGTGTATTAATTGGAAGTGTAGGGTTTATCTTAATAGACGAAAAAGTAAATCGGATGGATATATTGTGGAGAAGAACAAGAGGATTGGATGAGATAGGAAGAGACGAGGAGAGAAAAGACAAGGAGAGATATGCATGACATACCTCCTACCTGCATACATCCTCTTCGAGCATTAAGAAACATCATAAGAGAAATAAATACACGCAATTAGAAAAACATACAAATTGCCAACGCGGCGTCGGCTGTCTCCTTGGTATACGACTTCCTTTCTCTATTTATGGTATCCGTCAGTCATTCAAGGGTTTACTTATCCCTTCTCCTCCCCCTTCTAGTTCCTCGCTCCTTGAAGTTCCACTTGAATCCACACTCTGCACTCTTATTCTTTCGTTTTAATACCTATGCGTCTTCAAGCTCTCGAATACCTACGACTTCATCTCACCGTGCATATGCACAGTATCAAACTAAACTCATTAAAATGCATCATCGTTTCATTTCATTTCCCCTCAAAATGGTCAGGCACTCGACTATAAATCACTACCAGTCCAATCAAATTCCTAGTCAAATTCTCATTCATTCATTCATTCATTCATTCATTCATTCATTTATTCATTCTGTTTAAAACGCCACTTGTATCATGCCATATCTTCATCTTCCATCTCCATCTTCTTAATCCAAATCCAAACCCAAATCCAAATTTAAAATTACGCATCCCATCCAACAACCTACAAGTACGAAAGATGGTGTTAACGACACGCATATCACCCTTAAAATCCCTCGCAATATACCTAGAAATTTCTCCAGCTACCCAAAAACTCAAACTTGAATCGCTAAGCCATCGCTAAAATCACGTCATGTATCATTTCTCCGTCTTCCTTCTCTCTCATCATCATAAGGACTAATTTCTCTATTGTCCCTTCCTCTCTCATCTTCACCGATACTCTCTGATGAACTACGCTCTCCACTCGTAATCTCGGCATCCTTAATTCTAAAGCCCTCAATAATTTCCGCCAGCCTTGCACCTTCTTCTTTGCCCCTTTCTACGTTAACAAAATAGATCAATGGAGCGGGCAATCCAACTAGAACCGCCAAAAACCAAAAGGCTGGTCTAATTTCCCCCGTTCCATCGACAATTGCTCCAACAATTGCAGGACCAAACACACTAGATCCTTTATCTGTAATAGCGTATAGAGCATAGAATGCTGCTTCGGATCCCGGGGGAATGAGCTCACCAAAGAGGGAGCGACAATAACTACTTAAGCCACCGAGGACAAAACCGTAAATGAATCCGAGAGGATACATTTCCCAAGGTTGTTGGAGACCGATGACGTTCCATCGTTTGACAATGGGGAGAAACCCCAAGAGGCCGTACAAGGGGATCAACTCGAATATGCATATACATGCGAGGATCGTTTGATGGGGTTTCAGTTTGAGAGCGCGGGAAATAGCCGCCCATGAGAATGCACCTAGGACGCCTGCTGTAGTCGCGATGACGTTAATGAGACCAAGTGCTTCGGGTGCCATGCGAAGTTGGGTTTTGGCATAGAGAACTGCTGTTCCTGAAACAGTTGCAATGGCATCGGAGAGGAGGAACCACGCTGCCAAGAAAAGGGTTATATCTTTTAATCGTCGAGCGAGTTTTACGGTGCGGAAGAGAGATGACCAAGCGTAGATAGTATAAGCCCACCAACTTCTTGAACCCTTTGAATTCCCATTACCCGTGGGTGGTAATGGTGGTCCTGGTCTAGGTCGAAGCCATAACGCGGCAGGAATCGTGAACAGGAACCACCATAATCCTATGAAAAATAATACGAGTCGTAGGGAGAAGGTTGTACCTTTGAGCAACCATATAATGATAATGGATACGCATTGGAGAAAGAGACCGGCACTATAGCCGATTCCTATACCAGTCGAAGAAATTTGGGTAGACAATTGAAGCTCAATCGAAGTGGAATTCGTAGATGGCGATAAAGGTTCCGTTACGTCAGGAGCTTCCGAAGGGGCCCTATTGTGTGATAGGAGTGCACTTCTTTCATCATATACCTCAGGCTCAGCCTCACTCAGGGAGTGTTCTGGAGGATATTCATCGACAAAACTAGGATGCAACTCTGGTGAAAAGTCCGGCGTGCCATATTGAGTTTTCGGATGATGTCGAACAAGTAGGGGGAGGAATGAATTTAACAGCACAAAACTTGCCCCAAAGCAGGTATTTGATATAATTGCCCAGAGAGCCCCTAACAAGTAAACTTTCGGGACAACTGTTAGAAACAACATAGTCGTTATAGATCCGGCGAATGCAAACAATAACAGCAGTCGTTTACGATAATTCCCATGATCTGCAGCACAGCTAATCGAAACTACCAATATCGCTTGGAAGAGAACACTGAGAGAGAAGCTGTACATAGCAAAACTAGCAGTATTTATCTGTAGTCCGCCAAGATAAATCACACATTGTGAATCTTTTGCATTTCCTGGATGTAAACCAGGTGGTAGATGTGTAGAGCTCGAACCGCATGGTTGTGTTGGATCTGAAAGTAGGACTCCATTCTCTCTTGCCAATTGTTCCAAAGTAATCGGGATGAAGGATCCTGAAACATATCTGTTAGCCTGGGGAAGTACGTTTTATAATAAGCTTAAAACCTAAACTTTTGTAATGAAATTCGAATATTTGAAGGTACAATGCCGTCATTGATAAGTTCAAAAGGCAAGGCTGACAATGCTGCCCCCTTAACCTCGATGGATAGGTCTCATCGAATTGCAAACAACTTGACCATTTTGCTTCAATAACCCAGGTGCAAGATCAAAGAAAAATACCTCAGACGTACCAATACCACAAATGACGAAAACCTCTGCAGCAAATCCGTAGGCGTACCATCCCGACAACTCTTTCCGACTCGTCAATCGTGTATCCTCACCCGCATACTGGGCAGGAACATCTCTATGTGCAGAACCAATATCGGGGCCCATACTATCGTGATCAGCGGAACTCGATCTCTCGTCATCTGCTTCAAAAGATGAAGAATAAGATCTGTAGGATATTTTTGTACTATTTGAAGGAGCGCGTTCTGGTTCGGGGCGAAGCTGGGGTTCGCTGATGCGAGGGACCATTGCGCGCTGGATAAGGTAATTTGGGGGACCAGTTAATAGCGATAGGCGTTTAGAACATCATGCTAACCGGACTAATATCTGAAATGTTTGAGATGATTTTGAACATCTTCCTTTGTTTAAAGGAAAACTAGGTACTGGAAATGATGAAATAAATAAAAGTTAGCAAATAATGTAATGTATGAATAAGAGAGAGAGAGAGAAAAAGAATGAGAAGAACAGAAGAAAGATTTTTATCCCAAGAATCTTCTTACCTACTTACATACATACATATATGATGCATTAATGAAAATGGAGGTGAAGGTAAAATAAAGGAAAAGGTTAGCTATTCATAATAAGATGATACCCGTACCGCACATCTTCTCGAGACCAGCACAAGTGACGAGATAGACGCTTTAACCTGGGTGGAAATAAAACAGGGGCATTCGGCATTTGAGCAGAGCACCACTTTTCAACATCTTTTGAATCAAGTGAGCTCATATGAATGGAGCGGCGAAGGAGAAGAGGGAGGGGAGGACAAAGAAAGGAAAGAGAGGTGTAAAGTTGTAAGTGGGAGAGGGAGAGAAGAGGGAGAGGAAGAGGAAGAGGAAGAGGAAGAAGAGAGGAGGATGGAAGGAAAATGGAGAGTATGAGAGAGAGTATGAGAGTATGAGAATATGAGAGTATAAGAATGAGGAATGACGGCTGCCCACCCATCTATCTGAAGACCTCTTGGATACCTACCTAGGTACCTACCATATTTGCTTGACCAGTTGAATACACAACCGTATCTTAAAGATTGTCTTCTCATTCATCATGAATAGCTGTTGTCATCTGTGACATGCAAACAAGACAAGAAGGGTAAGAAGGGTTCAAGACAACGAACAATTCTTTGGATTTGTATATATTTATATATTTATATGGAGTAAAAGTAACCAGCACAGCAACAGCAACAGCAAACCGAAGAGAAGCAAAGCAGCACATCCGTAATTACGACCAGGTACGGTACCCAGTACTCTCTCTTGACACCACACCCACTGCACCAGAAAGACTTCCACCTCCAGCTTCCAAGGGGTTTCTTATCGTTTATCTTTTCTCGCTCTCTCTGCCCTTCCCTCCCCTTCCCTCAAAGCTTTTCTTTCTTCCCTCCCTCCTCTCGACAATCATTGCTCTTTCCCTTCCCTCTCACCCAGAACACCGGTAATCTACCGATCAGAGCAGTACCTAATCGATGATCACATGGACATTGATATCGGCTTTCCAGTTTAATTCACGAGTGCCCAACTTGGTCTAGTCGATCCCGTCCGCAATTCCAGGCAAGCCAGCCGGATTGTTTGATTGTTTCTTTGATTTCATACAGTGGATTGAAGGGGACGATTGATTTTAAAGAAAATTAAAGACTTCTTATTCAACCACAAATAATCCTCCTCAAAATCCTTCTTCAAAATCAATCGCATATCAAGATATCATCCATTCGACCCTTCCAAATTACTAAGATTCCAACAAAACTCGAGTCGTACCCATAAAAGAGACCCAGCCATCCTTTCATGCAAGGTCGCGCTGTGCGTTTCCAACCCTACAAAGAGCTATCGATAATTGTCACCACATCTAAGATACTGAATTCGAGCTTCGACGGCTAGGAAGAGCTCGTAAGGCTTATTGCGCACATGTTCCTAGATTCCCCGAGGTAGCGCATGCGACTTTGCTCCTACGGCCCCTCTCCAAAGTCCCGAATATTCAAATTCTGTGTCGACAGCCAAGATAGAGTCGATAAATCGTATAAAGGTCGAAGAGGGGGCTGCTGTGGGCGTACCGCAAGGAGGAGGAGGTCTGGTAGGTCAGCAAGGGCGAGATAATATGCCCGGCGTCATCATGGATAGTGCGAGTAGGAACGGGTCGCATACCAACCACGACAGAGATCGACAGTTCAATGGTTCCAATGGTGAAGCAAAGGCTTCCGAGAAGGGACGAGATAAAAGTCAGGCACGATCCGAGCCTCAACAGAGTATGACGCCGATCAGTCCAGCGGTTCGTAATGGGATAAATGGCAACTCTACGGATGGCCCAGCGCACCAACAGAACTCCGGAGGGGAACCAATTCCAAAGGACATTCTCGATCGTATACACGACCTTCCACCTGAAGTCGAACATATCACATCGAACTTCTTACCTCTAACAGAACTGCTGAATCGATTAGCACAATCTACGCATAACGACTTGAGGCAGGAGATCATGAAGTTGGCGAATATGCCAATACCCCAGTCAGCGATCAATACGAGCTCGCCCCATATCACCAAAGAAGATGATACCTCCAACGATAATGTGAACAAGAAGGTAAGCTTGCTCAATTTTGCCCAAACTCAACATAGTCGTTGGGTCAAGCAACTGGTTCTACTAAATTGGAGTCGAAACGCCGAAGAAGTGAGCAAAATCATCGACTTGAACATCCATTTATGCCAGAAACGAGGATTATACCAGTATATCCTACACCATATGAGTGAAGTCAAAAGGAAGCTATGCGACGTTGATTCACCTAGGCCCGATTTAAAAACTGCAGTAGAAGTTTTGTCAACTGGGAAAGCCAATTGGATGCCAGACGTAAGTCTCTTTGCTCAGGTTTTGGGATTATTCCTAACATTTACTAGCTGGATACATTGCGCCGCCTCCAATGAGTCCCAAAGAGATACTCAAATCCCTGGAAAAACTCAATACTTTACTATCCATCCGTTTGAATCTACACGAGTACGACAACATCCCCTTACAATTTAAGAACTATACGATAAATGTCTGTCGCGTGACCTTCAAAGTAGCCGGGAGTTTGAAATCGACTTGACAGTTGCAGATGAGAACCAGGAGTTGCAGTTCTGGTTCATTGACTTTCGATTTTTATTTTCCCCCTCTCTTAGCGAATTACCCACCCCGCATCAATATCACATAGAGAGTAAAGTCAATGCAGCACTAGAAAAAGATGGGCTTGTCTGGCTGTTTATAGTTATCTACATGAAATGGTGTTAACTCATAAGATCAGCGAATTTAGGAGACAAGCAATTGAACTTTCTAGAAGTACTTGGGTTGATGGGGTTAAAGTTGAGCCACTTCATCGCGCCTTATGCATCCAATATTGGTTGGATAGATACAAGAAAAATGGACCACGAAGTTGGATTATTCTGGGAGTTCACAGTGGACGGAGGAAGGATGGGTACCATGATCCTAAAACGACAAGCCGACTCTCTATAAGATGGTTTCGAGATTCAAAAGAAGTCAAAGATGTGGACATTCCATTCGACACGGTCAACATCTCGGCTGAACAACTCTTGAAGACTGTTATTGCAATGCACGTCAATCACATCTTTGGTTCAACACACAGCAAATTGGCCGCCGAACCTATCTTTGCGAATCGCGAGGCATCCTTGTCACTACACACATCTAAGACTGAGCCAAAGGAGTCTGTACTCGGTGTGCAATTGACGGAGAGACAGCATGTATCAATCACTATAGAACCGGTCACGGGAATTTTCATCTTCAGTCCAGCCTCTCGAATAATTACCTCGTCACAGAATAAGCTCAACAGCCTGGATCGCGATCCTGCAATGGACGCGCATTTCAACATCGAGAATCTTCGATGTTTAGCCATTTCGGAAGAGCTCACTATCCTTGGCACTAGTGTTGGATGGAGAAGGGCTGAAAATCCCGGGATATCTAGAGAAGACCTGAAACGCAAAATTCCGAAAGACACAAAGCAAATCACCTGGTTTAGGAGACCTGGATGGCAAGAGGATTGGCTTGTTGCTGTTACGCTGGGTATGAGTGGAGAAAGTTGGTGGTTGTTTCAAATGTATGTATCTTCAAGGGCCTATAATTTTCATACTAATCAGGATAGATCCAAACAATCGACGGGCGTCAAAGTCTTAACCTCTATCCACATACCCATTAAAGCCGTCTCACCAACGCCCTCTTACGTATTTATGTCTACGCTACACATTTTTGCAGGAGGTCTCATATCACAATATACTAATCTCAAAGCTCTGCATGATAGGCGCATTCGTCATACTGTCCGACAGTCTGGTCTACCTTCACCCGTCAAACTTCCTTCAATTTGGATACATATTCCTGGACTATTCCAAGCCAGGGCAAAACCAACAGCGCATAAAACGTGGGCTACAGATTTCCTCAAGCTTAATTTTCAGGGGCTGGAGCCAATTTCAAATCTTCCATCTCAGTCACCGATTGATGATTCGCAGGCTATTGTCCCTAAGCCTGAGCAGAAGACAGTACTGGTCACGGTTGTACGCATGGCAGTACCTATTCCAGCTCTTGCGGTCTTGAACGAAAAGATAGATAAAGATATTGCCTTTCAACCTAAAACAGGAGAGATTGCTTTTAGATTGCGGTCTCAAGTTGGCGAGTCGATAATTCCCGCCCTGACAGAGCGGTTATTCCAGATTGAACGTCTTATCTCTTGTACTGCTGTGCTTCGTAAGCATGAAAATGTTATTAAATGCGATAGGATTTCACTACAAGAAATTGCATTTTCGTATGGGATGCCACCAGTAGCTCAAACAGAATTGGTCACTAGCGCAGACAAGACAACGCCTCTTTCCTATAAAGCATTGGTCAGCTTAGGATTAGTTGAAGGCAAAATGAAACTTACGTTGGAGATGGGTAACCCTCACATACGTGTTTTGGATTCTTTGGACAAAGTCTTGAATATTGCAAAGAGTGGATTCGATGCTGTTGCGACTCTTCTTCCACAAACTCTATATTCTTTGCGGGCTTTTGAAACAATAGAAAATGCCTGGGGCCCTCTTCATGACAAAGGCGAAGTATTCGTGTTCGTCAGGGGGCTTTGAGTGGTTCAGACTACGTTATGTTTTCAAGCCAAGCGCTCCTGATATGCCTCAACGAACAGTCTCATTTGAAATCAAAATGTGCCATCGCAAGCAAAAACCATGGTGGCTTGTCCGTCGTACAGAAAAGACTGATAAGGGCGTAAGAGGGGACGCAGTTCCGGATGATGAAATTGATCTCCGTTTGAAGTCAGTGTGGGACTCCCGAGGAGATAATGACTGGAAGGGCATGCGTACTAGCGCAGTTGGCCGTAATCGTGGCATTGAAACCTGTCTCGAAAAGATTGATGCAGTGATGCGAGATCTCTCTCCAGAAGACCTTGCAGTTCAACCATCGCAACAATCGCAAACGAATATGCAATTACAAGCTGTAGGGCCACAAGGACAACTACCTTCGCACCCCCAGCAGCAAAGACAATTACAATTGCCCACGCCAGCAAACTCTCAGAATCATCCACAAAGTCAAGGAAGTAGCCAAGGACAACAACGGATGCCAACTCCTAATATGAACATGAATCTAAATATGAATCAGAACATGTTGAAGAGAAAATCTTCCGGTCAAGCCATGAACCCTAGGGCGGCTAAGAGAGAAGTGGTAGAAATCGATTAGTAAATTTTGCTTAGGACAAATGAGATGGGGCAATGATATAAATGGTTTTCAAGCATGCATGCATAGGCGCACGAACTCGAATGAGAGATAATTACGTTATGGGAAGATACGAATATGCCTTTTTCATATTTCTTTTTCATCTTGTTACAATACAACATTATATGAGGGGTGGTGGCAAGCTGGAAGCGACATTCACTTTGCATGGCGTTAGACCTCCCCTCTTTCCTTTTATAATTTGGGGGCGGAGGCGGATAAGAAGCGGAGAAGTTGGAGCGCGGAGGGCAACGCAAGCTGTAAAAAGAAAACTTTATTGATGAAGCTGGGTGGCATGGCGTTTAGTCGGGGGCCGACTTTTTTTTTTGCTTTTCCGAGGATCTTTCCAGATTTTCTCACAGAGCGGGATGGCGGTGCATTGGATGGGGATTAGTGGTTTTAATGCGAGCCTTTTGCTCTTTTTCGTTGGTTCATGCACTTGTCTTTACTATAGGGGCGGAGGTGAAGAGGGTGGATGAAGAAGCGGGTTTGGGATGGAAAACAAAATGGGAGAGAGTGGTTTGTGTGTACAGGATGGGGGATATAAAATGGGGAGGCGGAGAGAGAAACATGATAATACGATAGGTGAATGGATGGAAATGATGGAAAGGGAGGCTTAAGCGATGTTTTTGGAGAATTGAGACGGGGGGAGGGGGATCGGACCAGGTACTGAATGTGAAATAGATGATGTCATTCATGCCTCGTATGTATGTATGCAAGACTTCACTAGCAGTAGTGGGTAGTCAGATAACGTTAATATTAAAACGTTGGTTGATATTATTATCTTGTAATAGCGTAGATTGTGAACGCAAAAAGAGGGGTTGTAGGTATGTGTGTATTATACACTGGTTAAAATATCAATTCGTCCTCTGAAACTCGAGTCGAGAAGAAAATGGTTAATTTAGATAACCCCATTTTATTGTTCGATTATTGCAGCTGCTTGTAGGGGATGAAGATTTCGAATATGGTTAGGAAGGATATTGTATATAAATGTCTAGTATTATTTAAAAACCTGTTGTGATCTTATAGAGCTGAGCTGATTACAAAATACCTCGATAGATAGATATATGGGTATGAAGTTGTATGTACCTACCTAGATGTACGAGGATAAAAGATCGGGGATATTGGTAGATAGTAGGTAGATAGATATACATTAATATATACATATAAACATTACCTACCCACCTCACTATTTCATAATATATTTTTCTGGGGATTCGATTTCGATTTCGATTTCGATGGTGTATTTGTGACTCAATACAGAATACAATTTAATTAGAAAAGTAAATGAGTACCTCCTACCTATCTACCTAGATACCTAGTGCACAACATTCCTTCCTTCCATTCTCAGAAACAGATAACCATCATATATCCACTATCTATCGGCTATTGAGCAAGATAGCATTTCTTCAGAACTACAGTACTCACATACCTACCTGCCTACTAATTACCTACATAAACTTTACATGTGTGTGTGTTGTACTTCGTATAACAACCTAGGAACCAAAGTATCGGGACTGTCAATCGCAGACTATTTGTTTACGAATGAATGACTGCTTGCTGCTTTGGCGGGATAAATGGATATTGGATATTGAATTGGATGGGTGGAAGTGTGAATTTTGAGGTGGGTGCATGTGTGGTGGTGGGGGCTAGGTGGGAATAGGAAGGAGAGCCGATGGGTGTGGTATTGCGGTGGTTGGTTTGGAGGGTTTGGATGGGTGGATGAGTGAGTGGAAGGGGGGAAGGGGGTGGGTTTTTTGGTACCGAGGATGCTGATGTATGTGTGAGTGAGTGAGCGAGGGTGAGTGAATAATGATTGAATCGAGCTGCTTTGTTGGGTGTTTTTCATGCTTGTTTCTTGGGGTGTGAGTGGGTGTTGTATGATGGTGTTTTGTGCCAAGCAATTGTGGTTTCTTGAAGAGTATTTGGTTGTGCAATGTAGTGAGTGGTGCGAGGAGAATTGTGGATAAGTACTTCGAGTCATACTCTGTATGTACTCGTGTGATTTGTTGAACAAAATCGGTGAGAAGATGGAATGCAATACATGAAGGAGTAGAATATCCGAGGAACTAGGGGGTTGTTAATGGGGAAGCGGGTAGTGTCCGACTTTAGAACTTGTTGATAGTCGGATTGTTTTCAAGACGGAAGAATAACAATGTCGGAATGAATGATGAAATGTTTTCGAAATTTGACTTGACGTTGCTGATCTTGGATGTATGGAGTTAGATAGATATGTATGATGAATGTGATGGTCGATTTGATATGCAGCGGTAGGGAACCGTTTGATAGCTGATAGTCGCTGCATAACACTTTTCTAGAAATCTTCTAGCGAGTTTCCCGAATTTCTATTGAAGGAACCTTTTGCCGAGCAGAGAAAGATGATCGTCTATTCCATACTTTGAATGTGCAATATAAAAAGTAGGTAGTCAAAGAATGCGACAAGTAAGAAATCAAATTGTACTGCATCAAAATCAGCTCGAGAAAGTCCTCCAACAGTTGGATTATCGTCGTTTCTATCCCAATCCTAATTCTTGATCATATGCCACTGTAATATCCGGGCCGTGGAGAATTAGATGGGGTAAAGGCGATTGGATGTTGTTTTTGTCGAGCTCCGTTCTTGCATGGGAGGCTTCGTCATTGCGGATACTTGCTTGCTAGGAATAATTCAATGTTTCATTGAATGAGTACGCAAGTGTGTCTTGGAGAATTGTGAATACCTTCTCAATTGTATCGCTGATTCTCACCATTATTCGAAACTTCAACATACCCAAATGTATAAATATAACCCCCCATCTAAATGAAACCCCGGCTTCCAAACCATTGAGTAACATTGGTTTTTTTCCCGAGTGCACACACATCTTCTCATACATAAAACTTTCTTGGTGCAAGTCTACGCTCAAGATGCAGCCAATGAGAAATTTTGGACTCCAGATTTTCCCTCCAAGTCTTTCACTGGCTCGAATGGCTAGTCATTGACCCCACAGTCTGATCCCAAATGGAACCACAAGAACCTCGAAATAACGTGGTGGGAGGGGATGTGAGCGGGTGCATGACCCTGATCCTTGACTCTTCACGAGGTATGGTTTGGAGGCAAGTTATGGACGGAGTATACAGTGTAGATGTGGTGCGGAGTGTACTCCGTTGAGAGAGAATTGATGAGTTTTAAACGAGGAAAGATGGGGATTTAGAATTTGCTGGATGGCTTGCTTGCGGAAGATAGATATCTAGGCTATTGGGGGAAAACGAGAAAAGAAGCTTTGAGAAGGAAGCCAAGTAGGTCAGTGTAAATACTGTAGGTGCTAGGTACCTTTATGCGAGCATGCGAAGGCGTATCGTATCGGTTTGGATCCTGCAGAAGCAAGAGATGCAGAAGGAATATAATTGATTGGGTGTTGAAGGGATGAGATGCATATTCATAATATTCTCTGGTGGGACGAACCCGTAGACGGATGCTCATTGTAGACAGTGGCTTTTGACTTGCATCGGGGAGTGTTGCAAAGTTGCAGCTTCCTTCGACCTTCTTTCTCACTTCTTCTTCGTCAAAGGAAGCTTGGCTTGGGGTACAGCTTAGAGGAAGGTAAATTGACACCTCAGCATCCTCCCCTTTTAATTTAAATGTGCAGGTACAATAGCATGGAAAAGCAACGGGCAATTGAGAGGAGTGTGAAGGGTTAGAATGTATCGAGAAAGATATCGGATTCATTGTAATCACAATCTAAATTGCTAAACGATAGATACCTATGTATGTATACCAAATACTCGGTAGAAGCGTCTACTCAACCACGATGTAAATAGCATCTTCCTAGTAGTCTTCACTCACGTATCAAGCCAGTATTAAAGAAGAGATTCTATCAGAATAGCCCTTATTATAACAACCAGTAAGCGTTACCACCTTTGAGTTAGAGTTTGCGGTTTTACGATGCTAGTGAGTAAGTAGTTTTAGCTGATGTATTGACATTGTAAAGATTACCTTGGTACTCCGTAGTTAGATATTCTACTGGATTGTGAACAATTACCTACTACCTATGGTAGATGATCAATCTGAGAATTCCCAATATATCTCCTCTCTTATTAGCCTCTCCTTTCATTTCTTCCTACAATATTAATTATTAGCAGAATCAATTTATAATCTATAATTCACTTGGAAGATGACTCGGATGAGTAGAGTAGAAGCCAAAGAAGCTTAGGTCATTCAATGGTCTCTCTCTCTCTCTCTCTCTCGCGCGCGCGCGCCCTCCCTCCCTCCCTCCCCATCCTTCAAGCATCGAAGCATCCAAGTCCAAGCCATGACCAAGGCTCGATCAAACCAGACCTAGGAACTTCTTCATACTCCGTCCATACATCCATCCATACATCCATCCGACAGGTACGCCTTTCTCTTTACCCCATTCAACTTAGGTATTGCATTGTCTCCACTAGATTTATTTGTCAATCTTTCTTCGGATTCGGATTCGGATTCAGATTCAGATTCAGATTCAGATTCAGGTTCAGAGGATCTACAATACACACATCTCAATTCACATATACTCTTTTCTATCCTTTGATCTTGGGATCTTTTGATCACATTCACATATAACATCCATTATTGGTAAATTATTCCAATCAATTACCACAAATCTGACCTCCTGAAGAGACAAGGCTTCCACCCCACGTTTTACGCCTCTGATGTGCAGCATTGGTGCAAATACTCACTAGAATCAGCGAACCATCTCATCACCCTCCTTTTTAAGCTTGCTTTGCTTTCTGCAGATGAAGATCAATTCTGCTACAAATTATTCGAATTCGAATAAACCATTTGCGCATGAGTACAACTCAAAATAACCACTTCATACTCGTGGGTTTCTCTGTCGCGCCGCGCGAACCGTGAACGGTAAAGGACAAGCTCGAGAATCACCGACGAGGTCGGAATACCAGAAATATGACGTCTATAATTCGAATGCTTTCGCCTGTTGTTAGTCAATTCTTTCCTTTCGTCTTGACGGTGTGGCGGTATGATGCGGGTCTGAGATCATTACGGAGAAGTTCCGGCGCAGTCAGGGTCGAGGAGTTTCTGAATGGTATCATTTACTGACAATTGGCTTTTTGTATAGACGGACAGAAATGGAAATACAGGTCGAAAGGGTCAAGATGTAGAGCCGGAGCCCGAAACTACTCCACTGGTGAAGATGTTACAGAATGCAGGTCCCATACGGCCGGACGGAAGTGATAAATTCTTTGGTTTAGAAAATGTATGCTCTTCCTCAAATCTATTCCCAATTGCTTCATACTAACTTCTTAAAATTAGTTCGGAAACACATGGTTCGTTTTTTTGAAATTGATCCTATCCCAATCATACTAACGCATCTCAGTTATGCCAATTCGATTTTACAGGCGCTATACTATTCAGTCCCGTTTAGAGAAAATGTTGTTAAATACCCACCGCATTCCCCTTCTGATACCCCCAATGGACATTTACCAAAATTAATCGTTCCAACGAGAGCTCCGCCACCAAATGGAGTGCCATTGTCGACGGCCAAACCAAAAGGCATATCGGCTGCCGAAGCCCTCAAAAGAAGACAAGTTGTGAACTCTGGCCAGCCCGGACCTGGCGCACCGGGTACTCGACCAGAAGACAAGCCAGATTCGCCTGAATACAAGAAGAAGCATGCGATGATGGCAGGCCCGATATTAGAAATTACCACGGAACATGCGAGTTCATATGGCATGGAGGAAACGACTTTTACAGCCTTGAAGGATATATTTACGGCTATGATATCACATCCTTCTCGGACAGGTGTTGTAAGCCCCCAAAGATTCTTGGAAGTTTTCAGAAGAGATAATGAGATGTTTCGGACATCGATGCACCAAGATGCTCACGAATTTTATGGATTGATGCTTAATGCAGTTATCAATAACGTCGAAGACAATGCTCGACGCCTGAAGGAATCGCTACTTCAAGAAAAGGGAGGACTTAATGATTCAATGACAGCTGCTGTACGATCAGTTGCGGATTCCATGGGCTTGGCAAGTGGAGCGCAATCTCCAGGAACGAAATGGGTTCATGATATATTTGAGGGAAAGATGGTCTCGGAAACGAAGTGCTTGACATGCGAAACTACATCACAGCGCGATGAGACATTCCTGGACCTTTCAATTGATTTGGAGAAGAACTCTTCTGTTACATCTTGTTTGCAAAAGTTTTCGGCGGAGGAAATGCTATGCGAGAAGAATAAATTCCATTGCGATACCTGCGGTGGTTTACAGGAAGCGGAAAAACGTATGAAGATCAAAACTTTACCAAAAGTTTTAGTGCTTCACCTGAAGAGATTCAAGTGGACTGATGATTTGACCCGATTACAAAAGTTATTCTACACTGTCAACTATCCATATCATTTACGCATGTTCAACACAACTGATGATGCGGAAGATCCTGATCGACTGTATGAACTTTATGCCGTGGTTGTACATATTGGCACAAACGCCTTTCACGGACATTATGTCGCGGTAATCAAGACTGAGGATAGAGGTTGGTTACTTTTTGACGACGAGATGGTAGAACCGGTAGATAAAAGTTTTGTGCGACAATTCTTTGGGGATAAACCAGGACAAGCCTGCGCCTATGTGTTATTTTACCGAGAAACTACAGTGGAGGCAATGCGAAGAGATCAAGAAGCTGAAGGTCTCGATCTAATTGCTACCGCTTCTGAAGTGGCAGATATCTCATCGGGGCAGGTTCAACAAAACGGCACTTCTCTATCTTCCAACTCGAAACAGGTTTTAGCAACACCTAGCACGCCAATCGATAGCGACACTAATGGGTTTGGATCCCTCGATCATGCGTTAACGGCGCCTCTGGTAACTTCCCCTATTTCGGGCAATCCGGTTCCAACTCGAGTTCCTTCTTCACCTCTCGATACCTTCAAGTCTAAATCTAAAGAAGAAAAGGGACGAGAAAAGAAGGCCGAGAAAGAAGCTGAGAAAGCGGAAAAGTCTCGAAAGGCTGCTGAAAAAGCCGCCGAAAAGGCTGCTGCTAAAGAGAGAAAGGAAGCTGAAAAGGCAACCAAAGAAGCCGAGAAAGCCAATAAAGTAGCACAAGAAGCGGAAACGAAAAAGGCTATTGCTCTCAGCAAACAAACGGAAATTGAGGAAATGAAAAGACGGCAATCAGAAGCTGGCATCCAAAAGGAAAATAATGGGAATGGCAGCGAGAAGAGTGATGGTAAGGGATTTGGTAGTTTAAATCTGAATAGAAGTCATAAAGGAAGTAAGAGTATGAGTAGAAAGAGTTTTGGGTTCTTAAGTAAGAATGGAGAGAAGGAAAAGGAGAAGAATGGGGAAAAGAGTGAAGAAAATAGCAATATACCCGAATCGAGCAACAATACGGCGGTTGAAGGAACGGCGGGCCCGCAAACACCGGAGAGACATGAGAAGGTTAAAAATGCACGATTTTCGTTTGGATTGGGACGGAAGAAGAGTAATATGTGGAGTCCGACTGTGGATAATTAGGATGTATCTATCTGACATTTTTTGCAGGGGATGATGAGAAGAGAGAGATCAAGGAGATGAGGGAGAGGCGCAAGGGGTCGGGGTCAGGGCTAGGTTGCTTTTCTTGATGTCGATTGAGAAATGTCGAGAAAGAAATATTTGAGTCCCATGTGAGAATTGCGATTGGGAATTGGTATGGATATTAAGTGCGGAAACATATTCGCATGGACGCATGGTTGATATTGAACTTTGTCTTATTTACACTTTTATATGCTTGCTTGCGTATCTGCACGTATTTGTGCACGCATGCTATGGATAGGATGGCGAGCATGGAAAGGGGTTTTGGGTGAAATAGGAAATGGAATGGGTGGGGAAAAGAATGTGTGGATTTGTTGCCTATGATACTTGTATATTCTTTTGATCCTCATACACCATACCTATCTGTTATACATATACTATAAAGTTTTTGGAGGCGTGGGTTGGATATGTGGCTAGTCCATGTACGGTTTGTCAATAGCAGGTGGTCGAGGATTTAAAATGAGATATTGAATATCATGAAATGGAAATTACAGAGGATGCTCGATGAAACTGTGATATCTCTTAAAATCTACCTTTCCTTCTGATCCTCGACCTCCCCCGTCTCTCCTCTAGCCTGACTAAATTCATAATTACATAAAACGCCAATCATATTCTGTTCAGTTCTGTTCTGTGGTATACGCGCTTTTGAATCCTTTCTCTCTGTTTTCTTTCACTACCCCTATCTTGGTCGGTAAAGGGATCATCACCTCTTCGTCTGAAATCTTCGAAAAGTATCTTTTATTATTACACTTGATGTCCAATACTCCATCCTTGATGCGCAATCATTTAGTTTTTATTGCACTGTGTTTCCCTTGATGTCTGTCCTTCATATCCATGTTCTTTGGCACGCGCATTGGGTTGTGGCGGCTTGTCTAGAATGGAATTCTGGATTTGTGAATTCGAACTCGAATTGAATCATCCTAGGGCTAATTCGTAGATGATGATTACGGAATTGATGCCTATTAGGGGGACTGTGTGGTTATATTAGTTTTGTTTACTTGGTGGTTTGTGTGCCCCTCTTCTCTTTTCTTCGTTGTCTTGGCCCTTCAAGTCCTACCCCCCTTGTATCGATCTCTCTCCTCCGCGTACTCTCCACGCAACTTCCTGTCCTTCCCTCTACGCCTCCTCCAGATCCTGCCACACTCTGTCCCTCCCCGAATTCACAAGAGCGCAGTGTCACAACAACGGGACTGAGAGGGAAAGAAAAATAAACATACTCCTCATGAGCGTCCTAACACTCGTCATCAAATTCACAAGTTTTGATTTGATACTCGTGTCTGCGCTGTTTCCGCCAAAGGCTGGTTCGGCAACGGAGTTGGACCCATCCGACTATTTTTTAGTTAGTGGAGGGAACAGTGGCCGAGGGTCTTGGGGTAGATGAGATGGGGGTTCTAGAATGGTGGGATTGGATTTGGGAATAAAGGTGGAGGGGAAGGGGAAAACTAACTGCGTGCGAGGAAACGATCTTCGGATAAGATTGCGACGGCATTGGTGAGAAGAACAATGACTAAAGAGGAGAAAAATACATCAGTATGTGATTGTGTATAATACGCAATGCTTCGAAGTATATTACGCATCGCATGCGCATGTGTCTAGACAAAGAGTATGGCTCTATGTATATGCGCGCGTCTGGAATTCATGGGGGCAATCGGAACACATACTATAGATCAGATTTCCGAATATGAAAAACATTGTGAGGGATTTTGTGATTTGTGCTGAGGTGCGATTGTGTTGTTTGAGCTGTTATAAGTCGAGGAGGTGGTTAGATGCAGACAAGGCTGTGCAAATGAAGAGGTGAAGTTGTCCACACAAGCTCGGAATCGTGCACAGGCCAGGCGAGGCTGAGGCTGCGTGGCTCTTGAATTGTGGTTTTTGTGATGTTGGGGGGATTATTTGTTTATATCTTGTTTCTTTCTGGCGATTTTCGAATTGACATAATTTATTAAGAGTTGAGGTATCTTACTACTATGGGTTTCCTGGATTTGTAAATATTCACTTTCGCTGGACAAGTTCTCAAAAGATATATCTTGTAGAAGAAAGTTGAGTGGGTGAAGCTTGCTCCTCTTTTGGAGCTCTCGTAGCACTTAAGTTACAGCCTCGTTCTTCACTTGCACATATTCTTTGAAAGATATTTAAAATGAAGGGAATAGGTACGCTCATCGTGCTTCTCTTTCTGTTCTAAATCTAATATACTAACCAACTTCCATTAGATATCCTTCTAACCCTCTCCCTCCCTACCCTAATCCTCGTCCACCTCCTCGTAGCTCCCTACACCAAAGTCGAAGAATCTTTCAACATCCAAGCCACTCACGATATTCTAAACTATGGCCTTCCTATCTCAAATATCTCTTCTACTCTAGATACCTACGATCATACCACCTTTTCTGGGGCTGTAACGAGGACCTTCTTCGGAGCACTATCTCTGGCTGCAATCTCTAAACCCGTCATACTGCTTACGCAAGGAAAGTATGCACAGGTTATTGTTAGAGGTGTGTTAGGGTTATTCAATGCGGCATGTTTGATTAGATATCGAAATGGGTTGACCGGGGCTTTCGGAGTGGATGTTGGGAGATGGTATATGGCACTGCAAGTTATGCAGTTCCATGTGCTTTATTATGCGTCGAGGACTTTGCCGAATATGTTTGCTTTTGGTCTTAGTGAGTTCTGCATCTTTCGGGTCTTGATGATGGATCTTTTAAAATACTGATTTATACATAGCAACTTTGGCATTCACGGAGTTTCTTCCAGCGACAGGAGGAAGTAGACCCAGAGTTGGAATATTGCTCTTCGTCTTTGCGGGTGTAGTATTCAGGTCTGAAATTGCTCTGTTACTCTTCACACAATTGGCGTATCTACTTGTGTTATCGAGGATATCTTTAAAGACGATCATTCCGGCTGGCATACAGAGTGCTATTTTAGCTCTTGCTGTATCAGTACCCATCGATTCATACTTTTGGCAAAAGCCATTGTGGCCAGAATTAGCTGGATTTTATTTCAACGCTATTCAGGGGAAGTCTTCTGAGTGGGGTACTTCTCCCTTTGTACATTATTTTACCTCGTTGTTGCCGCGTTTGCTGATGAATCCTTTGATTATATTGCTATTACATCCTCTGGCTTTGACTCTTCCAGCCACGAAGCACACCTCGAAAGATTTAATTGTTCCTTCGCTTTTATTCGTTGCAATCTATAGTCTACAACCTCATAAAGAGTCCAGGTTCATCATCTATGTTGTTCCACCTCTTACTGCTGCAGCTTCTCTCTCGGCTTCATATATCTGGACTCGTCGTTCGAAAAGCTGGCTTTATACCTTTGGGTCTTTGGCTTTGCTTGGATCCGTTGCATTGAGTTTTGTGGCTTCCTCGGCTATCCTCATGATATCTTCCCTCAATTATCCAGGCGGAGACGCCCTTTCCCAGCTTCATACCCATATCCTCAAGGATCTCTCAAGATCTCCTCGTACACAACGCACGCAAGAGCGAAATATTTCAATCCACATGGATGTTCTGTCTTGCATGACAGGAATTACCCGTTTCCAACAATACCCATCTCTTCCTCTACGTTTTTCGCAAAATCAAAATATCACGCTGAACTACGATAAAACAGAAGATTCTCCGGAATTGGGAGAAGCGGCTTTCTGGATGAAGTTTGATTATGCGTTGATGGAAGAACCTGGTTTGGCGATTGGCAAATGGGACGTTCTGGATACGGTGTTTGCGTATGCAGGTATTGAGATCTTAAGGCCAGGGGATGGAAGTAGTTTCTCAGAGAGGCTAGAAGGGGTTTATAGGGCGAATAATATCACTGTTGGGAAAGAAGGAGAAGCCCCCAGTGCTGAGGATGTTAAGAGGATAGAGCAAGAGGGGACACAAAATGTTAAAGGAAGTAGGGAAGGGAACGGGTTTCTTGATCTCAAGACGAAATTGATGTTTGAAGAAATGAACAAATTTGGGACATATAATTTGCTCAGGGATGCAGGGAGATTAGTAACTGGTGGGTGGTGGATAGGTCCCAGGATGGAAGGGAGGATTAGAATTCTGAGGAGAATAGGAGATGAAAAGAATTGGAAGGAGGAGCAGGAGGAGCAGAGGGAGAAGGAGAGGCTTAGGGAGAGTGAGAAGGAAGATGGTGAAGGGGTGGAGATGACGGCGGAGTGAAAATTGGCGTGATGTTGTTTGGAATCTACGTCATTGTATTTATAGGAATAAGATTGAGGAATCTTTTGGAATGGAAAAATATGGTACATATGGTTTCTGTGATTTCTTTCAGCTGGTAGTTCATAGTGAGAACGCCTTCTACTTGGATTAAGGAATGGTATGTTCTGGAGCCAGTATAAAAGAATCAATTCTGTCTGTCCTCTTCTACCTCTATTGCTTACTATGCAACGCTTTCTTGGCTCGTCAAAATGGAAAAAGTGGTGTGGGCAAATGATCTGTTCTCCGAGATGTTCTGAATAATCAAACTCACGACTCGCTTGCCAAAGGGACGTAAAATTTTTATCGATTGTTGACAAACATGCGTTTTCATTATTGTCACTACTTCAAGTTCAGTATGACTCTCCTAACCGCCATATCTCCTACCCGTATAAGTTTTGATCATTGTCAAGTATGTACTCGTTTGCGTTGCTATTGGGGTCGTATAAGTTTTTGCTTCCTTCATTTAGAGGAGTATTGGGGCTGCAACGGCTCTAGGCTCTCATTATCGAGATGCCTTTTTACTATCATAATAATCTATGCTTGTTATCAAATAGGTTGTTTTTCTATTTTGTCAAATTAGAGATTTTTACTTCAAAACAAACGGGGATTTCAGAGTTCGTTTTGTATAGTCCAATCTAATGTATTGGGGATTTATCTATTTACCATTCTTGATATATGAAGTAGGCACGTGTCTAAAAATTCTGGCGGAGTGATAAAAGCGTGTGGATTGAACGGAAGGGGGCTAGATGGTTTTTATAAGGCCTTTCAAAGTTTGGATATACCATGTGCAAAAAACATACGAGCAATTACTAGTTTGAGTGGTGAGGGATAAGATAACGGGAAGGGAGCAGGATATATACTGTGGCGACCGAATAGATCTCTAGCTATAAAAGACATACATTGGCTTTCCTTCCTATCCTGTATGTAGGCTGACCTTGTCTTGAGACTGAATCGATAGGGTTCCATAGCGCACGGAACTTGTGTTCAGCATCTGTGAGAATACTCATAAGTGATTACTGGAATAGCGCTTTACACTTTTCGTCGCTTTTTCAGTCTGTCGTATCACGGTGTGGGTTTGAAGACATTGAAAGTTTTCTCGGCGTCAGTTATCAAGCCCATGAACTGAAAGAAGACCCAGACTTCCCTCTATATACTCACTCATGAAAGATTTGTCTTCCATAAAACATTATCTAGCAGTAAACAACAAGACTAAACGGCATCTTCCCTACACTGAGCACATAATGCCAAAAGAAATCTCCAGGTATAAAACCCTCCTCTCCTCTCCTCTCCTCTCCTCTATATTTATGTAATAGACGACTGCCATCGATAATCTCATGTGGATGCAATTCAACCTTGGCAGTTCCAGGGCTGAAATGCTCTTGGTTGTGATTTCGCATTTCCGTGTTCCAGGGGGAATGATGGTAAATTTAAGAAGACGAAGGAAGAACTTTGTTGTGGTTCATTCTTATTCTCGTGTTCATAGAATTTTTAACATACTAGTGTTAACATCTGAGCATCGATATCATTTTCACTACCAACATCCAAGTCGTTTTACTCGCTACCAAAGTTATACACATAAGAATCTTCACTTCTTGTATCTCGGCCGCCTCTCTCGATGATAATCCCACGCAGAATGCCATAATTGTATTGTCTACTATACAACCCGCTGACCACCGGGCACTTAAAGCTAGACCAGATACCAGGCCTAGTCTTTTCTTAACTCATCTTTGCATGCGTGCTTGAGGAGGTGGCTAAACTACAGGAGTGGTATTTTATAGGCTCGTGTATAGCTTGTCTGCGTCTGTGGCGGGAAGGAAGAAAGTGAATCGCGGTAGGATGCAGAAAAAATAAAGAAGAGGCGCTTATAAATAAGAATGAACTCTATTTTCGACATCGTGTTTTTGCTGAATAGACCGTGCGAGAAACATGACATGGCTGCTAATTCCGATCTTTCGTTCCCCGAATCTCCCATTGCCCTAAAAGTTATGTTCTCTACTTCTTTGCACATGCAATATGAGGTTAGAATAATAGGTATCAGAGAAATGTGAATTGTAAGATGAGAAAAAATAGGTCAGTGCCAAGGGTTTCTATTGATTGTCATTCAATTCTCTCAGTCACAATTATCACTTCTCATAGAGCACCACAGTATCTTATTAACATCGATCTACACAGCACCATCCAAAGCAAGATCTAACCTCGAAAAGCCTATGGCAATCTTCCATGTCTTCAAGACAAATCGTTCTACCTTTCAATCAGCTCCAAGGCTTCGAGCCCCATATTTCATGTCATCGTAATAGACTACATAAAATTTGTGGGTTTGAAAGCTATGGGGGTTAATTATTCATATAGTGCAGTAGAAGTTGTTGGATTTGTCCAGCTCTGAGAGAGAAACAGGTTTCTAGTTTGAAAAAGACATGCGGGTTTTTTCATGAGGCACAGTACCAATAGTCTATCTGGAAGTGAAAATAGATTAACTTAACTATAAAATAAAGCAAATCT